GGTCGGGATGATCCCCTGGAGCAGGAAATGGCAACCCACTCCAGTATTCTTGCCTGGAAAATCACATGGACAGAGGAGCCTGGTGGGCTGTGGTCCATGGGGTCACAAAGAGTTAGACATGACTAAAGCAACTGAGCATGAACACACACATTCACAACAATAGTTCTTGAAAGTTGAAGCCTCGTGTCAACAGGCTGGTTGGCTTTGACCCACTCTGCCTGTGCTTCTGCTCTCAGTGTTCTACTGAAATGGAAAAGGTCACCTAAGACCTCCATGTTCCCGGGGTCAGGGATCACCCTCACCCCCATCTCTTGGAGGATACTCCCCTACACAACGTATGCCTCCCTCCTGCCAACACCTTCTTCTCTTGCCTCCTCCTCCTTCACAGACCCTGCCTGCCTCCACTGCTCGCTCCTCTTTCTGAGAATCTACAAATGTTGGCCAATCCTCAGGTCAATCCAGGGACTCTTCTCTCCTACTTTCAGACCTTGCATTCCTAGCCCATCTAATCCTGATGACGTCTCAGTTTGTAACTCTATTTTATATTCCCCCTTACAGGTGTAATGGGAATCGCAACATTAAGATGTCCACAACTGAACTCCTTTTTGGTGGTATATCACCCCTCCCCTGCCATTTCTGTAATGATAGAGTCATCAGGAGGATCTTGAACCAAAAATGTAGGTATTGGACCTCCGTGGTGGTCCAGTGGTTAAGAATCTGCCTGCCAAGGCAGGGGACATGGTTCGATCCCTGGTTGGGGAGCTAAGATTCCACATGTTTTGGAGCAGCTAAGACCATGTGCTGCAGCTACTGAAGCCCGTGTGCCTAGAGCCCGTGTTCTGGAACAAGAGAAACATTGCCACAAGAAGCCTGTGCATTACAGGAAAGAGCAGCCCTTGCTCACTGAAACTAGAGAAAGCCTGTGGGTAGGAACCAAGACTCAGCACAGGCAAAAACAAATACATAAGTAGCACAGAATTGAAATTCCAGGATCAAACACTCAAATTAAAAAAGTAGGTGTTATTTCCACACTTTCCTTTTCAAAATCATATCCACCAGCACATGAACGTTACCCTTTTAAAAGCGTTTTGAATCTCCCACTTCTCTCCACCTCCACCATGAGTCTAGACCACCATGATCCCACGTGGAGCATGGCAACAGCCTTCCAACCTCCTGTTTCCACTGTGTTTCCACACAGTCCATTCCCATCCCTCAGCTACAGCCATGTTCTTCTAATATAAATCCCATCCCCTCCATCATTCACCTTTACTGACTTCCAAAGCACTCAGAACAAACCTGTCTCCTCACACGGCCTGCTTCTTTTTTTTTGGGGGGGGGTGGGGGGTTTATTTCCTTTTATTTTAAAATGTCTAAAATGGATTCAAATGGATTGACATCATCAGCTAACTATTTATATCTACTATGATTAACATGGTTTGACACAATCATAAAAAATAAAATGATTAAACAATATGCTTAACTTGAAAAATTTTAACTATGCATTAATTTATTGAGAATCTACTAAAAAATTTTCATTCTCTAGAATTATCACTTGTATTAAGTATTTTGCTAAAGGGAAAAAGCTAGATGATTGAACACTACAAAATGAAAAAGTAAAAGTCAATTTCTTATTTATAGTATGAGATATTAAGTCTCATATCCAAAAATCCAATTTGTTAAGATATTAAGGATTATGCTTTTGAAGTAAGTTCATTACTGACCTTACTGTTAGAAGCATGTTGTAATTCTACACAAAGTTCTAAAATAATATCTCAGACTAGAGGAGCATCTTAGTAACATTAAAAAAAATGGCTTGAGGGTCACAATATTGATTTTAAAATTGTTTTCTGAACGAATTATCAATGAGGCATATTTGTTCCCAGTAACTCTTTAGTTAATATATGCCTATCCTGTTTGATGATTATTTTTTAATCTTTTCTCACAGACTCCTATTGTCCTTTGCATGAGTCAAGAGGTGGGCTTTCATGTTATTTGACTGAATAAATTTCTTGCGACAGCCTACAAAAGGACACACAAAAGGTTTCTCCCCAGTGTGGATGCGCACGTGTGTACGCAAGTTGAAGGACAGGGAAAAGCGTTTTCCACACCCTTCAAAAGTGCATGGAAATGGCTTCTCTCCAGTATGAACCAGAAAATGTCTTTTTAGCTTTGCACTTTCCTTGAAGGCTTTCCCACATTCTGCACACACATGATCTCGGGGATTATGAACTCGAAGATGCTTTCTCAGGGATGTTTTATTCTTGAACTCTCTTATGCATCCATCGTGAGGACAGACATGTTTTTCTGGAGCACCACGTTCTTTATTTGTAGTTGGCTTCCTTCTTGTGCATCCCGTGAGCTGTTTAGGTTCTGAAAAGTCAGTGTTGGGTATTCCTCCGGGAGGAAGCTTGTTGCTTGGCCTGTACTCAGAAAACTCAAGAAGTGGATTCTCTCCAACATTCTGTTGAAGAAGTTCTTGTTTTGCATCCCTTTTCATGTATTCCAGGGAACATTCAAGAAGTGAGCTTGCCGCAAGAACCTGTTGAGAAAGGTCTTGTTCTGNTTCCAATATTCTTGACTGGAGAATCCCATGGACAGAGGAGCCTGGCAGGCTACAGTCCATGGGGTCGCAAAGAGTCAGACATGACTGAAGCGACTGAGCACATACGTATCTCTTGAGCAAACTCTTTCCTAACCACCCAATCTCCAGGAGACTCACGGCCACAACCAAGTTCCTCTGTTTCAGGCCCACCATTGCACGCAATTCTCTTGTTACATGTTTTCCTCATTTTCACAGTTATTGACTCAGTGCACCTCCCATAAATAGAATGCAGCTTGCCCATTTGCTCATCAGGGTGCCCCTAGTGCCCGGGTGGAGCATCGACACACAGGTGGGGCACTAAAGGAAGTGAAGGAGTGAATGGAAACACCCTGTTGTCTGTGTAGGTGATCAGGATGACAAAGTACAGAAGAATCCTCACACTTTCTCCAGTCCTTTTATGGAACTGAAGGATGGGAGTGAAGGTGGTCACCAGGGGAAGCATCATGAGGTACCTTATCCCCAGGACACATGCCTTAGTCTGTTTGGGCTGCTATAACAGAATGAATGGCTTTAAAACAACAGAAATTGGTTTCTCATAGTTCTGGAGGCCAGGAAGTCCAAGATCTGGTGTGCCTGCAGACTCAGCACCTGGTGAAAGCCCTCTTTTTGGATGTACATGGCCATCTTCTCACTGTATCCTGACATGGCAGAAGGGGCAAGGGTGCTCTCTGGGGTCTCTTTTATGAGGGCACTAATCCCATTCATAAAGGCTCCATCCTCATGATCTAATCATCTCCCCCTAGCCCCACCTCCTAACACCATTGCACTGGGCATTCAGATTTAACCTATGAATTTTGGGAAGACACAAAAATTCAGTCTATAGCCAGGCAAGAGCCCTCAAGGCAAGTCTAGTGCTCCTTTTGTGTTACGTCTCTGAGGACACACTCACCTCCACACTACTACTTTTTAAAAATGGGGATCCACTCAAGGGTAGTAGTTAAAAGCATGGGGCCTGGGGTCACTTCCAGGAGCTTTGGACAGGTGACCTTAATCGCAATAAAGTGCCTCTTGTTTCCTTATCTGCAAAATGGAGATAGGTTCTTATCTCTGAAGGATTGTGGAAAGGATTATAAACAATAATCTGAGAAGCACTCAGAGCAGTGCCTGGGACAGAGGAGAGACTCAGGAACTACTGTCTTCATTGTTAGGAAAACTGAGGCTGGCAATTCCCTTCAGCTTTTACCATCTCAGCTGCCATTCTAGACTGCCCACATCATCTTAAATTTTGGTCTCTGTCTCAACTCCTCTTGTTAGGGAAGAGGGTCACCACCTCCACGCAGGGCAGAGGGAAGGGTGGCAGTTTCAGTATCACCCCCCGAGTGAATTCCCTGAGTCTGAAAATTCTATATTCTCTTAACTTCTCAGGGGCCAGAGAGAACAAGAGCCAGTCCTGAAACACACAGAGGGTATGAACCTGTATTTGAACAAAATGGAACCAAATACCTTTGATCTTACAGTGAAATCCACTGCCTCAAAATGGTTCACCTGAAATGTTTTGCTAACAGGAGAAGCCATGGTGTTGAGTAGTAATAGCCAACACAGTTTTTTCTTAGTTAAAGCTATTTATGTCCAAGCTTTTGGAGCAAGACTGGATGAAGGGAGTTCTTGCTTAGAGCACGTTCACCAGGGAATTCGGCATTGGTGTTCTCTAAGAGAATGCAATTAATTAATTAATGCAATTAATAGATCAATTTGATTGGGGGAAAAAAACTACCCCAAGACTTTTTCAATACAGGCAGACCCAACAAAGCAGTGTAGTTCTAACAGAAAAATATTCATGAAGATGGAAAATACAATAAAAGGAGCAGAACTTAGGGTATATAAAATAAAATTATACTATATATGAAATCTTTTTGATTCTGAAGGCTAAATGTCCCCAGCTACACACAGTCCCATGGAGATTAGCTTGTTCACAGGAACAAACTGGAAAGGTATTTAAAAAGAGAGGTGTTATATAATTGAGACATAATTCTGAGATTTCAAATATATCCTCTTACTCTGCTGGCTTCTGCACTTTCATCCTGCTTAATGTACTGATAACCTAGGTTTCAATAGAAACAAACAGGTTAGATTAACGAGATGCTGAAAAGTGGCAACTTTAAAGGAAATCTTATATTTTTAATAGGTTGTATCAAATAGTTGTAAAGAGCCAAAATCCTACAGTAGTTTCTGATTTCCAAAGATGAACAACAAAGTTTTATTGTCGGGGGGGGGGAATCTCATACAACCCAAACTCCCCAATCAACGTAACATGAGGTTTGACCATGACCTCTCTTATTCAATGAAATTCCACACACTGCATGTAACTCAGTTGCTAGAGGACACTCTCTCAGCCTGAGTAAAAATCACACACGTGTGTCAGGTCTGAAACCTTTTATTCGACAGGCAATGCATTGTTCAATGGTGAAGGACATGGATGAGTGGAGAAGTTTAAAAACTGATTTTGGAAGGAGTCTATGAGTCGATGGAGCCTGCTGTGTTCCTTCCACTCCTTCGCGGGCTGGCTGCCTTCAGGAAAGTGGACCGTGCGATAGCTGCTCTTGGAAAAAACGACGTCTCTGTTTCACCATGAATGTCATGCCTAACGGTAAACGTGAAAGGAGAAGACAGGCTCCGCAGGCAGGACGGGGACCCAGAGACACAAGCTGATCTCTGGCGGCGGCACGGGCACGCGTTCTCCTGGAAGGCCACCTGAGTTCCGTATCCGCGCTTCATCTGCATTTCTTCCCCTGCCTGAGCCCCCTCTCTCCGGGGGACTCTGAAAGACTCACATTCATACCTGTGGGCACAGACCTCGGTCCTGGCCCTTTTCAATGGGTTCTTGTCTTCGGGCGTCTCTGGCCCGGGGCCGAGCGTCCGTCGGACTCGTTTGCCTGGTTCCGCCCTCTTCCCTGAGCTTGCTCTCTCGAAACCTGATGATAAAATCGCTCTTCAGTTTCACAGTTTGTTTGCCTTGATTGAGTGGCAGTTTGAAAGGAAGTGACTCGTCAAGGAAGTAGACATTCTTTACCAGAGCACTGGTAAACCTATTTTATAATTTGGGGCATGTCACTCCAAGCTTGCGATTTCTTTCTGGCCAGTTCCATCCAGGAGGGCTGGTCTGTGCTGCTATAGCTGGCGCGCTTCAGCTGATGCAGCTCCTTCTCCATCATCACTGCCGACTGCGCTGCTGGAGAGAAGACAAAACAAACGGAGACGTGAGGATCGAGTCTGGATTTGCTCTTAAGCTTCTTGGAGGCTTTTTAAAAAACATGTCCAGAGTCTTAACCATAGTCTCAAACATAAAACGTGCAAATGTGTGAAGAAGATGTCGGCATAGGATAATTTACAGTTCCAGCAATGTGGTGAGTTGAGAGAGACTTTCATGATCAAATTGCAGGAACTCTGTGGGTAAATATTCTTAACACTACTGAAATGGACACTTAAGAAAGGGTTAAGATGGTGAATTCTGTTATGTATGTTTTAGCAAAATGAAAACTAAACTGAAAAATATGGTTACATGCCACAAGAAAGTTGAATCTAGAAACATTATGCTCAGCCGAAGAAGCCAGAAACAAAAGAACACATATTTTATGATGCCATTTATAAGAAAGGTCCCCTCCAAAAGGCAAATATACAGAGAGATAGAAAATAGGTTAGCGGTTGCTTAAGCTGGAGGTGAGCATGGTGAATGACTGTAAATGGGTATGGGATAGCTCTTTAGGGTGAAGGAAATGGTCTAAAATTGGACTGCGATGGTTGGACAACTTGATAAATATATACTCACTGAACTGTATGCTTAAAATGGGTGAGATTTTTTTGGGGGGGCTGTGTAAATGATTATCTCAATAAAAGCTGTTTTAAAAAAAATCAACATACAACATTATAAAGCAATTATTACTGCTGTTTAGATAACGACTCTCTTCAAGACCACATGGGCTGCAGCCCACCAGGCTCCTCTGTCCATGTGATTTCCCAGGCAAGAATACTGGAGTGGGTTGCCATTTCCTCCTCCAGGGGATCACCCTGATCCAGGGATTGAACCTTCATCTCCTGCTTTGGCAGGTGGATTCTCTATCACTGAGCCACCAGGGAAATAAAGTCACTCTTCTATAAGTAAAAATAATAACAATAATAATAAATAATTGAATGATCAATGTGGTAGGACTTCCTTTGTGGTCTGCGTTCTTAATCAGGGGGCCTGGGTTCAATCCCTGGTCAGGGAACTGGATCTCACATGCAGCAACTAAAGATTCCATGTACCACAACTAAGACTCGGTGCAGTAAAATAAATAAATTAAAAAAAAAAAAATTAATGTGGCAGCAAGTAATTCAGAAAATACAACACAGAACAAAACAAAGCAGGACTAAACCTGGAAATGCATTTCTAAGGGCTCAGCACTATTTCTGGGCTTCATACCCAAATTCTGATGGGACAAGGAGATTCCTCTTTGCAGCCCCTCCTGGAGGCGGAGCTTTGTCCCCTGCCTCTGGTCCACAGGAGGCTTGGCTGGGGTCATCAGGAAAGACTTGCTGCGGACAAAGTCGGCTTGCTTCACGGGCTCCTGTCAGGGCACAAGAGAGACACACGCTGTCCCGTCACCTGAGATTCATATGGGGACAAACATAACCACAGGTGGTGAGCCATGAAGGCTTCTCCACCCAGTGCTGGCACCTTCCTGGGGAGCTCTGGTTCACGATTGACGGCCACCTAGCCTCCGGGACGGACTTGCTCCTGACCTTGCTCCATGGCCTGCTCCTGGCTCCTGACCTGTCCTTGGCCATGGCCAGGTCAGAGGGCCAGGGTTCCACTGGAAGGCGAAAGGAACTATGTTTGAAGATAGTTTTATGACTTTTAGGATACTTGGGATGACCGTGGATGCCGGAATCACTGGTGACTATTTGTTCTATAAATTCCCTAAGCCTGCAGGAGGTTCTCCAAGCTTGGCTATGGCAGCGGTTTTGGTGAACATGAAGAGAAGCAGGTTCAACTGCAAGCTCAGGCTCACTTCCCCACATGGCTGCAACATGATTTGGGATTTTTACCGTGGCGACTGGGGGGAACACAAAAGCTGTGAGTCTCAGCCTGCTTTTAAGCACCGTCGCTTGGGTTGGAGAAAACTGTTTTCAGTCTGGAGTGTACACGGGACCCCCAGGGTCCAGCCCTACGGACCTTGGTGAAGAGTACGGACCCCAGTGGGCGGCCAGGGCAGTAGTACACGCAGGGCTCGGTCATTTACTGCAAAATGAGTCAAGATGGGGCTGCAGACATGGTTGCCTAGCATCTAAATGAGAAGTTATTTTCACCCCGGGTCGCTTTCTCCAGATGCTGAGCCATGTTGCTAAGGAGCCGGGGAGCAGCGGGCTGTCTGCAATGCCTGAGTGGTCCACGGCTCCTCTGCCGCCCTGGCCGCCTGGCGCGGGCACGGGGCAGACGTCAGCTGTCATCACAGGCCACGGTCACTATAATGACCGTGCAGGACGTGGGGCCACCACGGGGTCCCAGCCCCCAGCCCCCACCTGGGGTGCTCCACTGCACACACAGGGAGACGCAGGGTCCACTCGAAGCACCTGGGTTCTCTCGGGTGCCTTGGCTGGCCTTCCTGTGTCAGACTTCAAGGTCCGGGCCGCAGGTTTGTCTTCCTGGCTGGGAGGCTGCTCCAGAGGTCCTCGGCGCTTCTGGCGCCCCACGGGGATCCAGGGCGGCGTGGGCTGGCCGTTGGTTCCAGGCCCTGCTACCTTCTCTGAGGGTAAAGACACAGGTCATACAAAGCAATCCTGGTCACCTCCAGCCTGGTGTGACTCCTCCCACCCACAGCACACTGCACAGGGACTCTGGAGTGGGTGTGCGGGCGGGGGTCTGCAAGCCTCCTTGGTGACACTAGTCCTTTTCTTTTAGGGACTTTGTTTTCTGTTATGTCATGTTCAGTCACTAAGTCATATCTGACTCTGCGACCCCATGGACTGCAACACACCAGGCTTCCCTGTCCTTCACAATCTACTGGAGTTGGCTTCAACTCATGTCCATTGAGTCAGTGATGCCATCCAACCATCTCATCCTCTGTTGCCTCCTTCTCCTGCCTTCAATCTTTCCCAGCATCAGAGTCTTAGTTAAAGATGATTCAAAGAGATTATGCCTCTCCTGTCGGAGTCACAAAAAAATCAAATGCAACTGCTCCCATATACACATTTAAAAGCAATCTTCCTCCTATGGGATGTTAGGGAATGAGATAACAGTCAGTACCTAGATAGAGAAGATTTCTCTAAGACAGGCCTGTCACTTGGGACCAGTATATACTACCCAATACTCGATATGCTTGGAACACTATGCTTCTCTTTTCTTTTAAAAATTGTAAGCACAATCTTCCCCGGTGGACACTGACACCAAGAATAAGCCATGACTGTTTTCCTTGATGTTTGGGAGAGAAGAGAAAAAAATGCCTTTAAAACAAAACATTGTGATGAATTTCCTTTCATGTTCACAGTGCTTGTTTTGGGTGGTAAAACTGTGGGTCATTCCCCCTTTCCCTTGCCTTTCAACTCTTCTGTGTTTTTATATTTCCTATGATGAGAATTTATTCCCTTCGTCAACAGAAAAAAGAAGCCAGTTTGTTTTTTTCAAGGAAACCATAAGTGGCTTCTCATTTATTTAGAAAGTTCATTGTGTCTAGAAAGTTCACTGAATTCAAGGCCCATGAGCCGGCCTCCCTGAGTATCTGCCCACCACCCACAGAGCAGATGGACACGAATCCCCATCTCCAGCCTGGCTTCTTCCTGCTTCTCCCGTCCACAGGGCACCGCTGTCAGCAGGTACAGGCCGCACCATGTCACGCACACACGGGGACACCCAGGGCGAGGCAATGCCCTTATTCTTTGTGGCCCGACAGACATCACCCCTTGGTCGGGTGTGTTTAGAATTTTACTCTGTCTGGTTTGGCTACTGCCTCCAGTTCAACGTGGAGTCCCCTTCTCCCACCCCCGGTCACCGACGAGGGGTCAGAGACAGAGCCACTGCCTGTGAGCTTCGCCTCCCACCAGGGCTGCACATGCACGGACCTGCCCTTGGCCCCTGCGAACCTGCTCCATCGCCACGACTTGCCCCTCGTCCCCTCCGCCCTCTCAGGCTCTCCCCGGGTGCTGACCTCTTCCCCGACACTGCAAAGCGCTTGGGTCTCCCACAGCTCGAAGAAAAACGTCTCCAGAACCTCGCCACTTCCCTGCAGCCCCTGTTCTCCATTCTCCTCTGCCCTCAACTCCAGCAGCCTCTGCCCGTGTCTCTTCAGCTAATGCCGGACTCAGACACAATGTGAGCACCATGCCATCCATCCGCCCAGCCACTGGACCGCAGATCTGGGGTCTAGCCTGGCCTCCAGCTGTTTCAGCCCTGTAGCTCGGTTGCGACTACATAGCCCCTGTGGGCCTATCTCCTGTGGGCACCCCACCTCCAGGACCCGGCCGGACTCTTGCTCATAAAACTGGAATTCCCCCTTGCTCCTGGTCCTCAACCTTTCTCTCTTGTTTCCCAAGGATTCTCTGTTCAACTCCTAACTTCAACACTCACAGTTGCTCAGATTGCTTCCAAATGTGTAATCCAGCCCTACCTTCTACTCTGAGCCAGAGCCTAGCATTTCTACTCCCCGCCCCTCCTTCCCTTCTTCCTCCCTCCCATTCATTCATTCATTCATTCATCCACTCCTTGTTTGCTATGGGCAGGGATTGTGCTTAAAAACTAAGATGGTAAAGAAAAAACTGTTTCTTTAAAGACTTCTGGGCTTCCCTGGTGGTCCAGAGGTTAAGAATCTGCCTGCCAATGCCGGGGACACAGGTTTGATCCCTGGTCTGGGAAGATCCCACATGCCACATGGCAACTCAACCCTTGCACCAGAGCTACAGCGCCTATGCCCCAGAGCCCATGCTCCGCAACACGCAGCACACAGGCCACAACTAGAGAGGAGGCCCCCACTCACCGCAACTGGAGGAGGCCTGTGTGCAGCAACAAAGACCCAGTGCAGCCAAAAAGAAACACGTGGTGGAAACCGGAACGTGCTACCCTTCACCGCGTGCTGTGGACATGGGGTAACACCGATGGGGGGGGAGCTGAGGATGCTGTCTGCAACTGGCACCTGAAGAAGGAAACTTCTAGGCTGAGAAGATGGGCAAGGAAAGGGGACAAAAGAGCGATGCGCAGGCCAGCTCAGAGGGGTTGAAGGGCAGGGTGGGCCAACCGAGGGGGTCTTCCTGGCCTTTTTCTCATCCATTACAGGTTTAAACCCTGGGTACACTCTGGAGGAGACTGCGTGGGGAGTAAGTGTGAGTGGGGCTGGAGGCGGGGAGGGGGGCGGGAGGCTGTGGCCATGGTCCAGGAGAGCTTGGACAACGACTGCAGGATCGTCCCTTCACGTCCACCAAGCTCCCGCCTGGGTATCGCCTCCTCCAGGAAGCCTGTTCCGGTCACTCAGTTGGACACATTCCCCCTCCTCACCTTGCGGGAACTCTCCTGAGATGT